AATTTTCTAGGCATTTAATCCAGGAACCTGAAATGACTGTCACCATGTCAACCGTATCATTTATCTGGAGTTCACTTTAATAAGCATTTATTAAAGGCCTACTGTGTGCCAGGCACTATGTAAAGTGCTGGGCATACAAATATAAATAAGAAAAAGTCCTTGCCTTCAAGGAGCTGACAGTCCAATGGAGGAAGACTCCATACACATAAGAGGAAGCCGAAAAGAGGGGAGGGGAAGGAAGGTGGAGGAGCCAAAGGGGTCCTGAAGGAGTGCTGCCAGAGAAGTCCAAGGCCCCATCATCTACCTGGAGCTCATTGTTCAGTTCTGACTTTGTTATTGTTGTTATTAAAGGTTGTCACATTGGTTTTTGTTTTGAAAAGGAGGATAATATTGGCAGAAATGATCATGTAAAAAGTTAACTTTAGGTTTATTAGAATTTTTTTAAAAGTTTTGCAATTATTGTTAAGCATTTTTCACAGCCTTGGATGTGAAAAAAAAAATTATTAACCTGAGAAATGTTGATGTGGCAAGGAAGCATATTGTCATGAAAAGAGCCCTGCATTTAGAAGACCTGGATTCAAGTGCTGGGGTCTACATTTAGGAGCATTATGACCATGGACAAGTGGCTTGACTTCTCAGCCTTAATTTCCCCTTCTGTAAAATAGCTTTAATAATAGTTGGCAGTACTACCTCATCGATGGTTTTGAGAAAAATGTTTTGTCTGCTATGTGTAAATGTCAGCTGCTGTTACTGTTTTCACAGTAAGTGAATAACCATGTCTTTGCAGAAATTTACAATTTCATCTTCTCCAATTGTATTTTGAAATTGGGTTTCTATAATAGTGCTAAATTGTAAGAGTAACTGATGTTCTTTGAAAGTATTACTTAGAAATCATCATAGCACTGCCTAACTAGCAGGGACTGGAGATGCTGATGAAGCTTTCGTTTTTTCTCCCATCAATTTGTTCAGGAATATAAAACATCATTCACTAGATCTTAAAAATCCATATTTTATGGTTCTCTAGCATCATTAATTCCAAAGCACATGAATTACTTTCAGTCCAATTAAGGGTAAATTCATCTTTGGTAATTTGAAAAAAGATGAGCAAACCATTTCTGTAGAAATTTGTTATGTTACCATCATACATTTTAAATAGGCTGGAGAGCAAAAACATTTAGCTGCAGTATTTCAGCATGGTTTCTGTGTTAATTTTTTTAAGTAATTATGTTGTTTTCACTTTTAAGTATTTCCTTTCACAGGATGGATGTTTGAGGGGAAATTGAGCAAAGATTAAGCTAGATGAGCTTTAAGGCCCCTCTTAACTCTTAAGATTCTGTGTTTCAGTATTCTATTTTCACATATAAATTTTTCTTAGAGTATTATATATCTTTATTATATATATTTATACATATATATATATGCCTACTTCTGCCATCTGAGGAAAATGAGTTTTATTTTAAAAAATTTTTCATTATGACTAAAAATTAAACCTAATTTACAGAAAAGTACATTTTAAACAGTTTTTAAATGTCTGTGAAGTGCTTGACCCTTCTGCTTATACCTTTAATATAAAGCACCTTTTTTTATTAATTTATTTTGATTTATCAACAATCACTTCCAAATTCTTTTGAATTGAAAATTTTTTCCCCTTTCCTCCCCCCCACCCTCCCCAAGATGGCGCACAATCTGATATAGGCTTTACATTTACATTCCTATTAAACATATTTTCACATTAGTGAAGTTATAAGTAAGAATTAAAACCAATAGGAGGAACTATCAGAAAGATGACACAAAACTCAGCAGAAGGTAAAAATAAGTGATAGCGATTCAACTTCCATAATTCTTTCTTTGGATGTGGACAGCATTTTCCATCACGAAGCCTCTGGAGATGTCTTAGATCCTTGTAATGCTGAGAAGGGTTCGGTTTAACAATACTAGTCATCCCATAACGTGGCTGTTATTGTGTACAAAGTTCTCCTGGTTCTGCTCACTTCACTCAGCATCAGACCATACAAGTCTTCCCAGGTAGCACAATAGTATTCCATTACATTCATATACCACAACTTGCTCAGCCATTCCCCAACTGATGGGCATCCTCTCAATTTCCAATTCTTTGCCACCACAAAAAAGAGCTGCTATGAATATTTTTGTACATGTGGGTCCTTTTCCCATTTGTATGATCTCTTTGGGATATAGCCCTAGAAGTAAAGCACCTTTTCATTACCTCTCTATAAGTAAACACTTATTCACCCTAATGGGCCACATTATCCACAGCCCACAGCAAGGGAGTACTAGAGATCACACCTCAGAGCTGCTGGAATCTTTGCTATCCTCGTTCTTCAGTCTTCCTTGACTGGACTTTCTCACTGTGTGGTCCAGGGCCTCCTGGTCAGCCCATCCAGGAGGTCAAAACTGTTTTCATAATAATATTAAGACATTTTCATTTCTAATACAGTAAATATTGAGAGCTGTAACCTACATAAAGAAAAAGTTGGGTTTAGGGGAGGCAGGCCTTAATAATTTTTAGGTGTACAAAGGGGACCCAAGACCAGAAAGTTTGAGAACAATAAGATGTGCCTTCCTTAATTGATTCGCTAGACCTGACGTATTATTGCCTGTTTGATTCCTTTGGTGTCAATTTAGTGATATGTATTACAGATTTGTTCATTTAGTGTCACTGAATTCTCAGATTAAATACGTAGGTAAAAACTTTTTAAGCCCAGTTAGTAAGAAAATTCCTTTGGTTAATGTTAATGTTAGAAATTTGGGGATTCGACATTAAATGTAATATAGTATATGTGTATTAGGCATAATACAATGTCAGTCAAAAAACATTTATTAAGATCTTGATATATGCCAGGCACTGTGCTGTGAGCCATGTAGCAATGTGTAGAGTGCTGAGCTTTAAGTTAGGCAATCAGGGTTCAAATTCTGCCTTCAAAACTTACTAGCTTATGTGATCTATGCTCAAAACATCTAACCTCCCAGGTCATTGTCCATCTGTAAAATGATAGTATTTGTATGACTTACTTCACAGCGTTGTTGTGAGGAAAACACTTTTCAAACCTTCAAGGGTTGTTTGCATGTGAGTTGCTATTATTATTTTTTAAGAATGAAGGTAGTTTGGTTTTTATTTCCCAACAGTCTTTTGTATTGATGACTTTAGCTGTCCCTCACAACACTTGAATGAACTTATAACATCATTATTATTAACTATTAATGGAATGGTTACCTTTCAATGTGATACCTAGAATGTAAAAATAGTAGTTTATAGAAATGTTCTGAAAACATCAAGAGATCCTAATTTGCTCCCATACAAATGTTTCGTATTGGGGAAGCCAAAGGACATTGTAACTGTGAATTCCCTGAGGACCACTGACTGTGAAGTTCTTTTAAACCTTGATGCTTTCTATAAATGCTACTTAGTATTATTATTATTACAGGGTGAAACATGGACACTAATAAGTATATTACAAGATAGATTTAGGAGAGAGAGAGTTCCAGCATCTGGAGAGGCCTCAGGAAGGCTTCACAAAGAAGGTATCACCCGGACTGATTGACCCTTGAAGGAAGATACTTACAGAGATGACATGGGAAACTGTGACATGGTCCTACTGTTTCTGTCAAGAGCTTAGAATGAACCGAGGTGTGGAAAATATGGTCTAATCCCTATCCCTATCCCTATCCATCCATCCTGGAATTCAGTGTTGCAATTAATTAATTTTCCAAGCTACTGAACCACTTAATTTTAATCCTAAATTTTATTAACACTTCATTATTTTCTTAAAGCACAGAGGTCACAATTTGAATTTTTCTTATGACCTATAGTCAATGTAAATGAGTTCTCCTACTGACTTGAGCTATTTAGGTGTATAGCGTTGTTTGCTACTACACTAAATGACTCTAGAATGCCATTGTCATAATTTTCCTGACTCGTCAGTCCTTTCTCACTGTGAGACAGGTCCCACCCATGGCTTTCTTCCATACACATTCCTCCTTCAATCTACCATATCTGCCACATTTATTTAGGTTACAGATCTGCTTACCAAAATTGTTACTCCTGTGTGGGAAATTAAATTTCTAACTGAAGAATGAGTAAGAACATCTCCTAAAGAGCTCCACGGTCCATGGACTGTGAGGTTTATTTCCAGATATTTTTGAGAAGTCACCCTTATCAGTAAAAAAAAAAAGCACTCACCTTGACTATGCATATATTTATTTATAAATTGTATACAGTATAGTAATGTTGTACTGATAGTTATGCATATTATAAAACTTATGAAAAAGTAGACATTTTAAAAGGAAGAGATAAAAATGTGTGATATTAGAGTCAGTAGTGAACCACTAGGGTTTGAGTAGGGGAGCTACATGGTTAGACCAGCACTCTAGAAAAATCATTTTTGCAGCTGTGTGGAGGATGGATTAGAAAGAGGGTGAAATTTGGGGCAGCGGGGCTAATTAAGAAATAGTTTGAACCAAGGTGGTGGCTTGGAAGCAGAAAGAAAAGGACGGGTGGGAAAGATCTTGTGGAGGAAGAAGTTAATTGTCTTGGCTGGTTGGATGTGTAGGGTAAAGAGGGAGGAGGAGTCAAAATGAAACTGAGGTACATACTGCAGTGGCTCACTAGAATGGTGATGGTGCCGTAGACCAGTGGGATGAAACTCTAATACAAAAGGGGCCACTATGGGGCAGCTAGGTGGTGTAGTGGATAGAGCACTGGCCCTGAAGTTAGGAGGACCTGAGTTCAAATCCAGCCTCAGACCAAATATGAGACATTTAACTAGCTGTGTGACCCTGGGCAAGTCACTTAACCCCAATTGCCTAAAAAAATAATAATAATAATAATAATAACAAAAGGGGCCACTAAACTCTACATAAAGATAAAGTGCACCAGGAAGATTCAGTAAGGGAACTGTGAAGTATTGTACACTATTTTCTACATAACAGAACGTGATGGAATGATTATAAAAATAGTTTCTCCCTCTCCCTCTTTCTCCAAGGACAAGGAGCATCCAAGAAATCTGATTCCAGAGCTCTGTAGACAGTTTTACCATTTGGGCTGGGTCACTGGCACTGGAGGAGGAATTAGCTTGAAGCATGGGTAAGTTAATTGACTGATTTCAGTTTTGAAATCCAGCCATGTGCATATTCCACAAGGCACCCACCACATCACGTGCCCAGCAGAATCCCTTTTATGTGTATGCTATGCACATGTGGTTCCATAACAGAAAGAAATAACGCGCAAACAAAAGGGACACAGAGTATAAAAAATGCTGATTAAATTTCCAAGGAAGCTCTTTGTCCACTAGTTTCACATCAAGAACTCGATCTTTAATCCTTGGAGAACCAGAGTTGAAGAAGTTAATCTATCCTGTGGATATTCATAGAATGCCTCCTGTAGGCAAGGCTCTACTAAGTATTGTAGGGAATACTAAATGAAGCTAGATTTCCATCCAGTATAAAGAAGAAATTGTGAAAATTCAAGGTTCTTACATTTTCAGAATTATTTGGATGGCCATTCAAGGTAGTGAGTTTCCCATCTTAAGTAGACAAGCACAGTCTGGAGAATATTGTAGAAGGATTTGGTGGGTCAGGTTTAGGACTTGGGCGAAGCCTCTGCGGTAGCTCCCTCCTCAGTCTCTCTTATTAAGGGGTTCTCTTGACCATCTTCCCTCCAGGGCCGCATTTCCATCTATACTACCCTCGCCTTCACGTCCTTACTTCCTCTTCCCTCCACAAGTATCCCTTTGCAGTTGGGCTTCCATGCCTGCTGCCTGGCTGACACTGCTGATCTGATGATCTCTTTATTACTCAAGTCAATAGCCTTTTCTTGGTCATTAAGAATCTTCTTGGGGGCAGCTAGGTGGTGCAGTGGATAGAGCACCGGCCCTGAAGTCAGGAGCACCTGAGTTCAAATGCGACCTCAGACCAAACACTTGTGACCCTGGGAAAGTCACTTAACCCCAATTGCCTTAAAAAGAAAGAAAGAAAGAAAGAAAGAAAGAAAGAAAGAAAGAAAGAAAGAAAGAAAGAAAGAGAAGGGAAAAAAAAAGAATCTTCTTAACCCTTTGGTGACTGGACACTGACCTCCTCCTCCTTTTGGATGCACATCTTACAAGGTATTTGTGACATGTTCAGTCCTGGCTCTCTTCCACACTGTTTGACCAGCCTTTGCTTGAACACTGTCTACATCTCACCTCTCTTTCAAAGATGTGTCATTCTCCCAACCTCTTGGACCTTCCTCCACCCTCCCCACCCATCACTAAATGCTCATTGACTGAATAAGCCTGTGGTTTTACTGTGAATCTAATGGGACACACGTGACTTAACTCGGACGATATTTTGTAGTCCATGTTGTGGCATAGTCCACGGAGGGGCAGTTGTGACAATGTCACGGTAACAGATGTCCTGACTCGCCAGTATTGTTACATTATTAAATGGTATCCATCACATAATTTTAGAAAGCTGCCGTGTGTGTGTGTAGAAATGTGCTTTGCATTTGCCTAGTAAGACATCTCTTTTACCAAAACCCATTGAAACCAGTCTCTTCAAACTGCCTTTGGAAGAAATGCCCAGATACGCCTGAGGCACAGGTGAAATTTGTAGGAAGTAAGGTTTTTTGATGCATTATGAAGGAGTTTGCTTTCTGCCAGCAGAAGCCTCACTTCTCTTAATTTTCCGTGTCACCAGGGCCCTCCGTTGAACTCTCTCACAAACTCCTGCTACAGGAGGCTTTTAAATCTGAGCCCTTTTTTAGCACTTTAGTCAACCCGATGTCCCTGAGACTGGGCCGGTAAATGGTTGCACAGCTCCCCCTAGAGGTCGAAGTAGGAAACGAATCTCTAATTTTGCTACATCCCTTCACGGTACCTGCTAGAATGCAGACTTATGGGGCACAGTGATGATGTTTGTCAGCATTTGACATTAACCTTGCCATGAACCCCAAAGATGCTGATGTATTTGTCAACATTTTTAATCTGTATGACTTTCTTAGGCTTTTGGTTCAAATTCAGTCTTTTAAAATTTTGTGTTTGAAATAAATTGAAACTAACCTAACAGCCCAGTAGCACCGTGCTGACAAGCTAAACCAGCCTCTGAGCTTCTGATATTATTTATTGATTTTAAAATTTATAAACACTTTCCACTACTTACATGCCTTTTAAGAAAAAGTTCAAGCTCTTCCCTACTATATGGTAAGCACTAGCACTTTATAAACATCTCACAGCAAAAAGTCCCAAGAGTGTGACTCCCATGCACCGTGTTTTTAGAAGCAGCAGAAAAAGTGCTTTTGAAGACAAGGTTCCAGGAGAGACTGAACTGTAAAGGCAGTGACAGAGGAGCAGAGGGACCAAGTAAAAGCCAGGCTTTTATTCAGTAGTCAGCCTGCCCAGGCCACATTGTTAGCCATAGAATTTGAGAGTGAAAAGGGACCTTCCATTTTACTCCTCTTTACAGGCCCAGGGAAGAAAAGTGACTAGGGAAGCCTAGAAGTGGAGCTGGGATTCAAAACCATGTCCTTTGTCTCCAAGTCTAGTCATCTTTGTATTACAGCAGGTCACCTCATAAAGTAAGTAGTACTTTACATTTTCACAGTGCCTTCTTGATATTTATGCAAAGTTACCTGGAAATACAGTTATTGAAATGATTATCCCAAGCCCATATGCTAGCAGGCACTAAACCAGTGACTGAGCTAATTTAGGAATAAAGGGGTTTAAAAATAGCTATTAAATGCTCAGAAAATACATGAGGAAAGAGAAACCTCTGAGTATAAACAGATTATGACTTCAGACTTCTGTTACCCTGCCTGCTGTATTGTTTTTCCTTTAGTAATATCTTATTGCACAGAGGAAAACTACACTTTAGTTTTGGTGTTTTCCCCAACACTTGGCCAGTGGTTCCTTCTAAAATTAAAGTACTGTCACCTTTGTATTTTTATATGGAGTATTCTTAGTGTGAAGTTAAGTTTTTCTAAAACTATTTAACTAATCTTAGAAAATCAGAGTCTATAAATATATAGACAGCTTTCCATATGAGAAAGAACAGTAGTAATGTCAGATTTCACCTACTGAATAGCTTGAATGAACAGAATAATGATACCAAGATTTTTTTTTTACTTTGTGGGCTATTTACTCACAGACAGCTTCATTCTTTATTTGGGTCCGTTCCCAAAACTTCATGTATCTCACTTAGCAAGGAAAGACCTAGCGCATATCAGGTTATTGTCCTATAGATAGTATTTTAGAATTGCTTCCATGTCTTGTAAGGCGAAACAGGGAGGATCAAGGCAAAAGTATAAGCAAGTTAGAAGAACAGAGGAGAGAATTCACAGCTACAGATAGAGAAGAGTTCCTGATCAGAGAAGGGACAGAAAGGATCACAAGATAGAAAATGGACACTTTTTTTGTTCTTTTGTTTTTCTTTTTTTTTTAGTTTTCAGCATTCACTCTTAAAATTTTGAGTTCTAAACTTTTTTCTCCCACCTCTTTCCCTAAGACAGCATGCAATCTGATATAGTCTATACATGTGCAGTCACATTAAACATATTTCCACATTAGTCATGTTGTGAAAGAAGAATCAGAACAAAAGGGAAAGAAAAAACAAAAAAGAGAGAGAAAATAAAATGGTTCAATCTGCAGACTCCAGACACTTTTGACCATATAAATTGAAAACCTTCTGCACAAACAAAATCAATGCAGTTAAAAATTAGAATGGAAATAGTTTATTTGGAAAAAAAATAATCCTTCCAGCAACTTTCTCAGAAAAAAGTCAGATGAACTAGGTGTAAACTGAATTGATTTGAATTATATATGAACTTTGAAAGAATGAAATTCTTGCTTTCAGTGGCCATGTGAAAAAAAATGCTGCAAATCACTAATAGCAAGAAAAATAAAAAACACAGCTCAGGTTCACCTCCCACAAGGGGTGTGCTGGTAAGTATTTAACAGCTGACCGTTCGGGGAAGAAGACGTACCCACAGTGCACTTCTACATTTCACCTGCTTTATTAACGGCGTCTCCATTACTTTCTTAAGACCACACAACCAACAGAACAATAGAGCAAATCCTGACTTACATCATTTGACAGTTTCCAAGGCGTACACACTCACACTGATCATTTAACAGTTGTCTCTCCTGAGCTGGAATGAGCTGGCTCCACTGTACTCATGCCTCACCCTCATCGGATCGGCCAAGATGATGAGGAGAGAAAATAACAGTTGTTAACCAGCGTCTGTGTGGGGAGGTGCACTCCTGCACTCGTGGATCAGGTGTGCATCAGTCAGACCTCTCTGATAGGCAGTTTGGAGGTAGGCCCTTTGACCTTGTGTGGGAAGCCACTACTAGGCTTATACATCCAAAGACACTGAAGGAAAAGAAGCCACATGTATAAAAATATTTATAGACTGAAAAACCAAGGGGGTGCCCACTAATTATAGAATGGCTAAACAAATTATGATGTGTAAATGAAATATTGTTGTACCTTAAGAATTGGCAAAAAAAAAAGGTGATTTTTGAGAATCCTGGGAAGATTTGTATGAACTCACACAGAATGAAGAGGACAGAAACAACTTTACGAAAAGAAATAAGCTGGAAAAACTTAAGAAGTCTGATGAAAGCAGTGGCTAGCCGCATCTTTAGCACCCTGGTGATTTCCTGGGCTGCCTGCTACCTCAGAGGTGACAGTCTCCAGGTCCAGAAAGAAACAGATTTTCAACCATGACCACTGTGTGGATTTATTTTGTTTGATTTTATTTATTTGTTACAAGGGCTTTTTTTCCTTCTTCTTTTTAAATTGAGAGGTAAGGGCAGGGTTGGGGGAAGAATAAAGGAGCTAGCATTATTGCTAGCTAGTGATTGACAAAAGAAGAGAAAAAAAACTACCCCTTTGTATCAGAGGATGGAGTGTTGGTAGGAACCGTAGGCAGAGGTCACTCTCCTCTTTTTACGGATGAGAAAATGCGGGTCCTGAGAAGGGAAGTTTTTTGCCCAAAGTTAAACAGCTAATAAGTAGCAGAGCCAAAATTTGAACCCAGTCCTTTTGATGCCAGATTGAGTGATCTTTCTACTACAGCAGTGATTCCAGATTTTTTGGATTTCTTAGCTTTAAAAAAAATTAAGACACACACACAAAAGTAGTTATAGTATTAAATGCTTTAAATAAATTTGTATTTTTTGTTACTCAACAGCATCTGCATTGAAAACCACATATGTGAAACTCTGTCTATAGAACGTATGCCTGTCTGCTTACGGATTTGCAGTTTTCCTGGGAAAAAACTCCTGTGTTCCTTGTTCTACAGTCATCCAGCCACCAAGCATTTATTAAGAACCTGCTGTATGTCAGGGACAGGGCTAAGTGCTGGGGATACCCCCCCCCAAAAAAGAAAATAGTCCTCCCCCTCCAGGAGCTCCCATTGTAATGGGGAGATGGCATGCAAACGACTACATATACACAAGACACATACCGTGTCAACTGGTAGTCATCTCAGAGGGAAGACACTAAACATGGGAGGGACCAGGAGAGCCTTTCGCAGGTGGGAGTTGAGGGGTTTTGAAGGAAGCCAGATGTTAGGAACAACTATTCCTACATAGGAACTTTTAAATTTAGCTTCATTAATCGTTGAAGTGACTGTCACAGGTAGCCCCGATAGCTTTTTCCAAGTATTCCTAACACAGAGAACAAGTGTTCTTCCATAGTCAAAGCATTACCATGTTTTTTTTCCTAGAAAATGTTCTCCCTTCTCCAGGAAGCAGGAAATAGAGGAGTAGTTAAGCAGACCATTCACTAGAGGTCTCTGTACTTCATGTTTTTACACTTCAGGCCTTCTCAATACTAAAATTAAAGGAAAGATAATACGTTGTGTGAAATCCACTTATTGCTAAAGTTTCAAATGTGAATCACTTTTATTGAGCATACTATGACAACTGATCACTGAGTTTCTAAAATGTGGGATTTGAGCTACCTTTCAAAGACCTAAGGGAAAATATTCACACACACACACACACACACACAAAATAAGAACACATTTATTTAACATTTAAAAGTTAAAGGGCTTTTCTCACAATCGCACATGTTTAAACACAAGTACACAAGATTGCCTCAACTACAATATTGAGATTGTGAAATGGATTGGCATTTTTTCTTCAAAATGGTTTATCATTTTTTCTTAAAAATAGTTTATTTAGCATTGCAAGCAATTACATACCCAGGTATTTTATATGTAGAGAGTTTCAAGCTACAAAGAACATTAAACGTCAAGATTATGAAAAGATAAACTTTATGTACACAAAAGAAAAAAATGAGGTTATATGTAAATTTCTGATTCCTATTACAGCAATGAAATCTACATAGCTCCATCAGGAGTGCAAAAAGAACGAATTCAGGTAAGATAAAGGGATAATTCTTACCACAAATCTTTCCACTTTTTGCTAAAGAAGTTTTTTTTTTAAATAATTAATGGAGGTATCATTTTAAACCAAGGAAATTACCTTGGAACATAAAAGATCGATGGATTTCTCAGTGTGGGTACTCACTTTAACTAGCGTAATTAAATAACTATAGGTAATAATCCCTACATAGTTTAATAAATGGTCTTTGAGAGTTGCTGTAGCCAAAAAATTCTTCCCCCTGTGGCCATTCTGATGATGAGCCTCTCTAAACTTAGCCTGGTCTTCAGAGAGCTTTCTGTCACCAGACCAGTATGGCAAAGGCTTTCTATTTCCAGTTTGGCAGAGTCTGCCATATCTTGTGTTCTATTATATAACTCTTCAGAAGCCCTGTCATGGTATTAAGTCCTGACTTTGCCACTGGACTTCCATTTCTTCATCTTAAGAATGAAGGATTTATATAGCAAAGTATTCCTATTGCTTTTTTGTGTTAGGAAAAAGGTAGAAGCAAAGTAGATGGCTGTTAATTAGGGAATGGCTAAACAAATTATGGTATGTATGTGGAGTGTAGTATACATCTGTGCCATGAGAAGTGGCAGATTGAAGAATTCAAAAAAGCATGGAAAAATCTATATGAACTGATGCAGAGTACAGTAAGCAGAACCTGGAAAACAAACATACACAGTGACTACAACAGGGCAAATGGAAAGAAAACAAGACAAAGCCAAAATTAAATGTCATGTAATTATAATGACCAAGCTGGAGAAGAGTTAAGAATATATACTTCCCTGCCATCTTTGCGGGGAGGGGAAAGGGTGAATAATTTTTTTCTCCTCTTTTAAATTTTGTCATAAGAAATGTCTTGCTTTGTAAGGGGGAAGAAAGAAGATATAGTTACCAATAAAAATAAAATTAAAAGAGCATACAACAAATCAGTAATTGCCTTAATAATTGGTGGAAGGAGGGATCTACAACACTAGAGAGTCTGTGTTGAATTTATTAAGCATATATTAAATTTCATTATTTGCATATGAAATAGCAAGTCAGTATCTCTGTTTTGCAAAATCTTTTAAGAAATACGAGTAATTAAACTTTAATTTGGGTAGAGGACCACCTATGGGGCAGAAACTAAAAGTAATAAAATAAGAAAGTTGGTCTGATTGATTTCTAAGACTCCTCTCAGGTCTTTGAGTCCTTGCCTAAAAATTAAAAAGTAGCTATATTGAGTACTGTGTCCATGCCTAGTTGTGTGTTTTGTGGTGAGTATGCTTTATATATCATTACCATTTTGAAACTTCTTCCTTCCTTAGTAGACAAAAGGGAACATCTCATTTTGAGATCAGAATAATGATAGATCTGTGAATATACATTTGTGTTGCACTTTCTAGTGCCATTTTCAGCAATATAAGAGTTATGCTAGATTGTTTTCTCAAATAGCCTAAAATATCTAAGACCTGTGTTTAAGCCCATTACACCTCCTGCACGGTTATTCAGCCCATTGGCAATTGGCTTCTGCTTAAAGACAGCAATGAGTAAAATCCCTGCAAGCTTTACTTCTGATTTCTTTATAGAAGACATTTCTGTAATTAGAGGAATTGGTGTAGATGTTTAACAAGATTATTCCATCCTACTGAATCGAGAAGTAAAACCTGAACTCTAGTTGCAAAAAGAACAAATAAAACTTAATAGGTAAAAGTTCTCTCTGTCACATAATAGTAGCCCAGTCCACATGTATATACATGTTAACTCTGTACCCCAGGCCCCAGTAGAGGATCAATTTTTGACCATCTTGACCAAAAATAAGAAAGGAGGTTATTTCATCAATGGGATGTTTGTAGATGTCCTGATAAGTCCTTACTGAAAAACACACTTTCTTCAGAAGTGCTATGGTCCTGATAGCTCAAGCTTCAAGAATAGTTCTTTATGTAAAGTATGCCTTACTAAGGTTCACTGGGAGATGGCCAGTTTTTGAGTTCCAGTTCTGCCAGCTTCTATTATAAAAGAATAAAGAAATAGAATGTTTTCTTGTTTTCTTTGGATTTCTTAAATATAAATTCATCACACGTTCGCCTGAGTTTATTGACTCCCCTTGTGCAGTCTCTGCATATTTAGGATCACAGATCTCGAGCTGGATTTTAAAATTTGTCATTTCTCTTTGTCTCTATCTTCAGATAATCAGCAAGACTTCAGAGGCAGAGAGCAGACTGAAATTTTGGAAAGTCAGCTTTGCTTCATTTTAAGTAGAGATTTCCTAGTACTCATTTTTTTTTTGTTCATCGTTGTTGAAATAGAGATTCATAGATAAGGAAAAGTAGATTTGAGGTTAAATCTATAGACTATGGCTGGGAGGTTGGTGGACTAAATTCAGGAGTTAAATTTGATGAAAACAGAAGCATGATTACTTTTATTATATATACCTTTGAAATATATTATCATCACTTCCATATACAACAGAAATACTTCCCCAAAACAACAAAAATTTGAGTATTTTTTTTCCTTCCAACAGCCTGAAGATATGTTTGTTTGTGATATAAATGAGCAGGACATCAGTGGACCTCCACCATACAAGAATCTAAGGAAAAGCCAGTGTACGCCTCTCTTTATGAATGCCTACACTATGAGAGGTATGCAGGAAATGCTTTGACTCAAAGATTACTTGATCTGGGGAAGGAAAAAAAAGATTGATCTGTAATTTGGGCATTAGGTGTGAAGGCATAAACTTTCAAAAGATGTCTTTTGAATTTGCTCTCCATACCTTTTATGTGCAAAGGTAGACTCAAAGGATCCTCTGACCTGGTTATTCTAGGGAGCTATAATTTCACCTGGAAATATAATTGAAGCCCAGCTCCTCCTTTGAGGAGGTCCTTTAACCAGTTCTGCCAGAAGAAGCTCTCTCATAGAAGAGAATCAATCTCTGAGCTCATTGGTGACTTAAAGACTTATGAAATTTTGCAGGTTTTAGTCTTGGGAATTAAAATCGACTGTCAGATTTTGGTTATTATGAATTTCTGTGGACAACAGACCTGAGAAGGCTTAATCTGGAGGATAATTCGAAAATGCAGGTTTCTAATTAGAGCACTTTTCCAACCCTAGTGATAGAGTTATTCATAACATGGTTTACTGCAATAGTTGTGTGACATAAAGGATATGTTTCTATAGCTATTTTCAGGCAGCATTATTGCCTATTGATTATTTTTATGCTTGGGAAAAGGAATTAGAGTAGTGCCAAGAATATGACTTGATGCAGTCCTCAGCTGTTGACTGACAACTGTTGTGTAAAGAAAGTGAATTGTTTCCGGCTAAGGCCAGCACAAATTTTACCTCCTCCTTCGGCCCCGTCTATGGTCTATAGGAAGTAGGTCTTCAGGAATTGTCAGCTCAGTCCTCTCTGCTTCAGTATAGTGGCACCTACAACAAACAACTTTATTGGAGCAATTAATTTGTTAAAGAGAGTTTCTCATTCTTTGTTCAATGTGATGGAGAAAAAGCAACAATAACATAAAAACTGTTGATAGATGTAGAATAGAACTTTTGAGAAATTTTTTAACCAGAAATCTTTTGTTTTGCTTTAAGGAGCAGGAGCAGTGATCCATACTCATTCCAAGGCTGCTGTGATGGCCACCCTTCTCTTTCCAGGACGGGAGTTTAAAATTACACATCAGGAGATGATAAAAGGAATCAGAAAGTGTACCTCTGGAGGGTGTTACAGGTATTAACATCCTCCTGTATAGAAGGTTTAGCTTTCTTCTTCACCTTGATAAACAGAATACTTGTCACATAGTTTCACATAGAATCTTTGGGCTGGAAAGGACTTTCGTCATCACGCAGTCCAGGGTTTCTTGACCTTTTTCTTATGTCAAAAGACAGGGCAGGGGAAGCCTGTGTACCCACTCTCAGAAGAAGATTTGTGGCCTGAATTTGTAATTGATGGAAGGCACAAAGTTAGAGGTTAGTGAAAATAAATGTTTAGTTTTCCCATCCACATTCACAGACCCCCTGGCATCTGTCCACAGACCCGCCTGGTGAGGGTGGAGGGGGGGGTGGGTCAGAGTGGAGAGCAGATCATGAATCTCAGTTGAAAACCTCCAAACTAGTCTAATCCCCTCAGTGTACAGATTAGGAAAAACTAAAAGAAAGGCCTTTCATCAGGTCACATAGTGAGTTATAGAGTAGCTGGAACTCAAACCCCCATCTCCTATTATCCAATGTAGTACATTTTTAAATTAGATTATAGCTATTTCATTTGGTAAAATTATGTTAAAATAGATGCCATTCATCAAATGCCTGAAGATAAATTCTCAGTGGAGCTGAGTCAATGGGGATTTCTTTGCATTGAGCTAATGTTTCAATAGCACCCTCATGTTTATGAAGTCATTCAAAAAATCATGGATTTTTAAGTTTGAGGGAAACTTCAGGGTCATCTAGTCCAGCCTCCTCATTTTACAGATGAGGAAACTGAGACTAAGAGATTTGTCAGAAATCACAAAGGTAAACACAAAAGGTTAAGGTAAGTAGCGGTGCCAGGACTCCAGCTTAGATCCCCTTATTCCAGATCCACTTGTCTTCCCAGAAGAGGTTTTCTGCTTCTAAGATCTGTGACTTCACTGGGGTGGGAATGCCCTCCATGAGCACTGAGACAGTTCCTCATGCTTTATGAGGTAACATGAGTTTCTGTGAACAGAAAGTTCATCCCAGGGTGCCCAGCCTTCCAGTGATCAGCCTTTCTGACTGAGGATGGCAGACACACAGCCTGTGACTGTGGCCCATAGCAGAGCTTTTAACATTTGCTGCGATCTGCTGTATACTCTGACACTTGTACTCTGTTGATATAACCTTTCTGGAAGAACAACACCAATTAAGTTGTTCTTGGAAATAAGCTTACACCACTCCCTAGGTTTCTCCCATCCCTCCCTCCCCCCCCAAAAAAAAACCCTACCAAGGCACAGAATATCAGCAGATATTTTTTTTTAATGAGAGGAAGCAATGTTTATTTTTTGTTTGCTTGTTTAAATTATTTTATTTTTGGTTTTCAACATTTATAAGATTTTGAGTTCTAAATTTTCCCACCTCCCTCCACCCCACTCTCCCCAAGACAGCATGCAATCTAATATAGGTTATATACATGTATGATCATATTAAACACATTTCACATTAGTCATGTTGTAAAAGAAGAATCAGAACAAAAGGGAGAAACCATAAGAAAGAAAAAAATGAAAGAAAAAAAAGAAAATAGTATGTGTCGGTCTGCATTCAGACTCCATAGTTCTTTCTCTGGATGTGGATAGCATTTTCCATTGTGAATCTTTTGGAATTGTCTTAGATCCTTGCATTGCCAAGAAGAGCCAAGTCTGTCAAAGCTGGTCATCACGAAGTGCTGCTGTTACAGTGTACTGTGTTCTCCTGGTTCTGCTCGCTTCACTCAGCATCAGTCGGCAGATATTTCTTAACACTTGATGCATCTAATGACATTGAATGTCAGTAACAGAGGGACACATACACAATGCCATTGCAAGCTGGGCATTTCGTGATACAAGATTACATTTTTTATTACCGGTGCCTTTCCAGATTTCATTTCTTTATACCAAATATCCTTAAAAATTATCCTGACTTGAGGGTAGTTGAACTCCAGTGGTTTAATAAATTCACACAGCAAATTGTGAACACTAAGACCTTCATGTCTGTGTGTGTGTGTGTGTGTGTATAGTTTTTTGTGAAGCAGCAAAAACCTCAAGTTCTTAAATTGGAGAATGGTCTTTATTACCTGCCAGCCGCCATAGTGCCACTCTACAACCAACTTCATTTTTTTATTGAATGCCATATATGTGTTCAAAGCTATTTTCATAGGGTAGTTTAATTTTACTTTTTTGTTTATGCTTTTTTCAATGTCTATACCAATTGTTGACATTGGAGAGATAATATTCTCCTTATGGCATAATCTTCATAAGATAAATATTGAGTGACACAAGGTGTCTTTATTTCACAGGGTGGTTATGTGAAAAGAGTTTTTTAACCCTTAAAAGTCTTATATAAATGTGAGATTATTATTGCAGTGTAATCAGTGTAAGATTTAAGCATTTTACTCTTGCTTAGACACGTTAAGTGAGATACCTCCCTGCCCTTCAGGGACCTGGAAAGAGCATGATACATATGCTTCCACATAAAAGGATGATTGATAAGGAAGTAAACATAATTCAGAAGGAACAAAGAAGCAGGAGAGAGAGCCCGGGATGAGGCCAGGGGTACACAAATGGGGTCCCAGGGAGTCAGACAAAAATGAAAATGACTCAACACAAAGATGGAAAAGCTTAACGCTGCAAGCATTCATTTTTTATTTATCTCTCCAAGGTGCCTTGGATCCTACAAAAATTCAAGATGGGAGAAAATGTTGTATCGTCTCAAAATTTCTGCTTAATAAGTAGTTCCATCACTAATCCTTTCTGTGTTTCTGATCTCAGATTTATTATTTCCCGTCTTCACTTTAAAATACTGTACTCATCCGTGCTTCAAAGAAAATACCTGTACGATCTTGATTGTTTCTTTGCTGGGTTGTGGTGTACTCTACAAGTTTCTGACACTTAAAATCAGACTAGTGCCAAAATCCGAAGCCCATTTTGGTGCAGATGTTTGTGCAAGATCTGCAGAATGACATGCAACATCTTGCTTCCAGAGAGTTTGGCAGTGACTTCCCAAGGATGAAGACTCGGTGTCTCTCTGACTCAAACAACTTGTAAAGTAACGTTAGAATTTTTCTTAGTGAACGTAACTTGTTTAAATTGAGAAAAAATGTTGCCTATTTTTTCTTGTAGATACGATGATATGTTAGTGGTCCCCATTATTGAGAATACACCTGAGGAAAAGGACCTCAAAGAACGAATGGCCCAAGCAATGAATGAATATCCTGATTCCTGTGCTGTGTTAGTCAGGCGTCACGGGGTCTATGTCTGGGGAGAAACATGGGAGAAAGCTAAAACCATGTGAGTACAATCAAAAATAATTTGGGGAACTCACCAGGGAAAATATTTATATATGTATTCATGTATATATTTTAAAAAGGAAATCTGAAAACAGATGCTTTATATTCATGTGTAAGGTAAGTTCTCAGTTCATCTGTAAAGCCACCGAATTTAAGTTGCTTAAGTCCAGGCCAGGGGTAGTTACATCAGCCATTCTTCTAGGCTTAGCCATCCATTTCTGACATAGATCTTTCCTTCTTGGTCATTTGCCGAATGTTTAAGGTTTTATCAGCTAATTTATCTTTGAGATGTCTTTAACCAGTTCTAGATTTCAGACTTCATTTACGGAGTCAAACTTATTAATTACCCAAAAGACTTCAAGAAAAAAATTAATGAGCGCTTATATTAAAATATCCATTTACATATCACAGCATATGTGGATAATGAATTTCATGTGCAATATTTTAAGTAATTCATTATTCTTAGAGGTTTGCCTTTCATTAATCAAAAATTATCAGATTTGCTACATTCATTGAAGAACACTATGTGAAGACAATAGCAAAAACAAAGTATTTGGGAGGTAGTACTTGTCTTTTCTTGTGAAAAATATCTAAAGTTTGTGTACCTTTTTTCAAAAAAAAAAACAAGACATATTTCACTTAATACTTCCAAGGGTATATAATTTCATTGGTGTGCAGATCCTCCTTCCATAATCCCTTTTCATCTTAATAGATGATCTTTGTCAGTTGCTGTGGCCCCAAATCTGCTTACCCATGACCAACCATGATGATCTTCTCAAAACCTCGTCTGATCTTCAGATGATACTGATGAGGATATCACCATCACTGCTTTCCTGGGACTTTCTCCAAAGGTCACATTTGATCTTAGTAGGACCTACCAAAGCTTACATTCCAGTAGTGCATCCTTCCGGAAGAAATATCATGGGAAAAGCAAACAATTTTGAAAATTTTGAAATAACATTTAAAACTATATATAAATGTAAACACATGTTTATGTATATAAATATATGTGTTTAGGAGCCAGGGAAGGTTTCTTTGAGGTTTTTTGTTTGTCATTGTTGTTTTAGAGGGAGGGAATATTTTTTTTTAAAGCTCAGAATGGTTAACTCCACGTTATTGCATAAAATGGGAACAAACTAAATTTCAAACATTCGTCCTCATATCTCTGAGCCATGATTTGTCCTCCTCACTACCGAAAGGAATTGGAAGGTGAAGAGGCAAAGTGGTGGCAGATCAGAGATGTTTTGTGTGGGAAAAAAAAAGTCAAGGAGTGGAGAATTCCTATCTGAACTTGTTTAAATCGGCATTCCTTCTGCCATATTTCTGGTCCATGTATACATCATACCAGTAGGTGTTTGCCAGGTCTTTGAAGCTCCCATCCCCTGTACATTCTCTGTCCTTCAGTTATTCCATGATCTTTACCCCTTCGTGCCTCCTCATCTTGTGCTATTATTGTCCATGCCTTTCCATCTGTCCATCGAAGCTCCACCTAGAGTGATGGGGGCCTCTCTCTCTGGCCCTGCTCAGGTGCTCTATTGAAATAGCATGGCAGTAACCTTGGGTTCTTGGGCTCTGCCAGTAGAGTGCAATTTCTGGCCAGTCCTGCCAGACTCACAGGGTTTCAGGTACAGCCTCAGCAACAGGCTTTGTCTAAGCAGAGTTATCAAGCTCAAGGCCTGCTATGTGCTGTAAAACTCCCCAGTGCAGCCTGAATCAGATTAAATAGAATTGGGAAATGTTTAATGAAGCAAATAAAAAAAGTGAATACAACATAGATAATGTGAATTTGTTCTAAGTTGCTATGCTGCCTGTGAGGATCTGTTCTGTTTGAGTTTGACACACCTACTTTAGAGGACCAGCCTAGTGACATGTGGAGAAGGGATCACTAGAATGGGGGCCCCCAGGGCACATTGGCCACAGTGACGGATGAAACACACCCGTGTAGGCCGAGACAAAGGTACCGGTCCCAAAGCATGTTCCTGTTTCACATGTGGGGCCCGAGTACTGCCCAACGATCAGAAGGAAAAGATGTATTAGAAAGCAAGCCGAGGCAAACTGGAGGCTAAGAGGAGACACAAGTAGGTCACTAGTGCAAGGTTTCTCCAGATCCCTTGAGCTCCCTCTTTCCATGCTCTTCTTTTACAGGTGTGAATGTTATGACTACTTATTTGATATTGCAGTATCAATGAAGAAAGTAGGCCTGGACCCAACCCAGCATCCAGCCGGAGAAAATGGAATTCTGTAACCCAGGGTTTAATTTTATCCAGTGACGGAACTGAAGTCCAGATCATGAATTCGGGAGGAGGAGGAGGCTGTGTGTGCTGTTTTTGTAAATTTACTACATATTCATATCAGATGTATTTTGTTATTAATATATCACCAAATGCTACTCACAAAGTAGGAATTTGTTCTCAACTTAATTCAGCAAATGTTGATTATGTCTTCATATGATGTTTTACTAAAACATGCAATGTGCTAGCACAAATGGAAATGGAAATGTCATCCCACAAGGTTTCTGTGGGCCCTTTGTTTGCCTCTTCTACCTCGTGTGCTTCAAACAAACCCTCAATGGCCAGAGCTGCATGTGCTAATCACATTTACTGGCAGGGATTTCTTTCTCATAAAAATAGTCATAGAAGCTGGTCAATGTTTTTGTTTTTCTTGTGTTTTCTATTTATTTTCCACTTAATCATGGAAGGCTATTTTTTTCCATGTAAAATGACAATACTGTTGCTATTCTTAGCGTCATTGCCTTGCCATAGGGAGCCCCTAGCTTTCCTTGGTTTTTATGGACTATTTATAAATGCCAGGCCTTATAGACAACCTCTCCCTATTGCCCTCCACAAACTCTGAAGTCCAGGGAAGCGGGCCACCTTCCTGGTCCTTGCCGACCACACATCAGCTGCCAGGCTCTTTCCCCCACCCCAGGGATGTGCTCTCAGCTCTCCTTCTCCTCTGGGGATCCCTGATTTCCTTCAAAATTTCCTTCCTGCGTCATTGTCCTGATCCCAGCTGATATTGCCTGCTCCTCGTCTGCTCTGCTAGCTCCTTGGGGAGATGACCAGTTCTGCTTTCCCCTGTGGCATTCCAGCCTTTACCATATCGCCTTCCATCTACTAGGATTTTAATACATGCTGGTTGATTGATTCGTCCATGTAACCCAGAGCAGCTTCACGCTGGTTACAAAGATGTCTTCCATTTAATTGGAGAGGGAACTAGAAAGACCCTGTACTTAGTGCACAGACTTCCACAGTTAAAAAGACTAGTTATTTATTCAGCAAACATTAAGTCCTTCCTCTCTTAAGGAAGGAGAATATGACATCATACATACACCCAATCCTTAAAGAGATTTATTATAATCTGGGGGAAAATTGACCCCAACAACCATGACACAAAAGGGAGTGGGAGGGCAAGGGGGAGACTGGTGAATTGCAATGAGAAATGTTAAGAGGAAAAGCTAGCACTTTCTTCTCTTGGGGAGGTACAAGGGAAGGCTTCATGAAGGAGCCCCTGAAATGTAACTTGAAAAAAAAGGGACAGAGGAGTCCATTCCAGATTTGAAGGGCAGCTTCCCCAAGGGCAAATAGATCAGCCAGGAACCTCTAAGCGCTACAGCTGAGTCCCTGAGATTCTGATGGGACACACAACACATATGGAGAAGAAGCGAAAGGAGGGAGCATTTATTAAGTGCATGCTCCATGCCAGGCGCTGCACTAAGGCTTCACAGATATGGAATGGCAGTCTGACATGGGCATTTTCAGACCAGACTGACACACATCATCCAGAAACAATGATAGTGGATTGGGTTGGGAGGCCAGGATGTGAGGGAACAGGACCCTGTGTGGCAACAAGGCAGTATGAGGGGGTGGTTAGAGAGAAGTTAATGAAGTAAGGCATGGTCAGGGTACGAGTCTCTCCAGAGCTACAAAGTATCCGGTAAAGAGCCACGATGCGTTGTGGGGACTGTCTCCAGCTGTTGATGGGAAGAGTCTGCCCCTCAGATTTGAGGCCCACAGCCTCTTCTAACCCGTCAGTCTAGGTACACACACAGGCTATGTCCATCTGACATGGGGCTCTATTCTTTCCATCCAATTGTTAAGTAAATTTGTGGTGCTGCTGTTGAGTGTTAAATGGTTTATGAGGGTCTCACTTCATTATCAGCCTGAGTCTGAATCACTGGACCAGCCTGAGACAGGTCTAGCCCGTGGCAGCAGGGTAGCTATGAATCAACAGAGGGTCACCCCCAGCGTTACTGTACTCCATGACCCTAAATGCTTATTGTCGTGCAGCAGAACCTTTGCTGACATGTACGTACATACATGTAGGGAGAAGGGGAGGGAGGGGAGCTGGGAGAGAAGGATTACAAGGGAAGGTTCTGTCTTCCTTTACCAGTGTTAACACACCAGAAAGATGCCCAGAGCATCCTCAGCTACCTTTATAATGGGTTTGGGGTTTTTTCCCCCTTCTCTAGTTTCTGTTGGGGCTGTGGGTTGGGGAATGGTTGATTATATATGTAGGATTTAAACAGATAATGGTCCTACATGAGTTCAGCTTTTTCCCTTGACATTCCATTCACACCCCAGATTGGATAAGGGATTAACATTTTAGTTGAAGGGTGTGTCAATTTCTTGATGAGATAATGCATTGTTTCTCAACTGGCAATTGATTCTAGAGCCTTTGGGCCCTACCCACCTCCTTTTTATGAGGAAAGAGCTCAAAGAATATAGGTCTCATTAATTTATTACATGTGGATTGGAGGCTTACAAGTTTCTTGGGTTAGTATTCTTATAGACACCAAAGCATAGGCAACACAATTTCATTTCTTTCAAGTGCTCATTTAAACGTGGCCCATCCCTAATCCTAGAACAAGTTTTAATTCCCACACCAGAAGTATCTTTTTCTGTTGTTAACATTTTGGGGTGCTGAAGAGTTTGTTTTTATTTTTATTTTTTACTTCTGGAAATAGAACAGCAGGCCAGAAGCTTCTTGAAAGCAGGGACTCTTTATCTTTTTAACCCTGAATCTAACAATACCTTTCCTCCTAATGGAATTTAATATTTGTTGAACTGAAGTATGAATTGTTCTTTTAGTCCTAAAGACTGCTATCAGTCTTTCCTTATTTCAATCTTTACCTACATAGAAGTTATTTCATATTCCTAAAGCAACAGGCTTTGAGTATAGTATAGTCTTAACCATTACTCTAGAAGTCAGGAGATTTAGGTTCCAGTCTTTGGGCTTAATAGTAAGTATTAGTCACCAGCTGTGTGCAAGACACTGTGCTAGGTGATGGAGATACAGAGAAACGCAGAGGATAATCCTTGCCCTCGAGTCTAATCAGAAGACAACAAGCAGATAACTATGTACAAACAGCCTATATATACAGGAGAAATTGGAGATCACCAACAAAGTGAAGGAGTAGAATTAAGGGGAATTGAGAAAGGCTTCCTATAGGAGGTGAAATTTTTAGCAGGGATTTGAAGGAAGCCAGGAAACAGAAAGGAGAGAGAAGCTTTCATCTGTGAAGGGAGCCAATGAAAATGCCCAGTCAGGAGATGGAATGTATTGTTCAAGGAACAGCAAGGAGGTCTGTGTCACTGGAATGCAGAATATGTGTTGAGGTGTAAAACATGAAAAGACTGGGAGGGTGCTAATTAGGAAGGACTATGAACACCAGTTTTGAGTTGTTGGGTTTTTTTTTTAAATTCTAGGAGGAATCACTGGAGTTCATTGAAAGGGGTGACATGGTCACATCTATACTTTAAAATCACTTTGATAGCTGAATAAAAGGTGGACTCAAGTGTGGAGAGATTTGTGGCAGGGAGATTAACCATTAGAGTACTGCAGTAGACCAAGCATGAGGTAATAAGGGGCTGTACGAGGGTGATGGCAGTGTCAGAAAAGAGAAGAGGGTATAGACAAAAGACGTTATAAAGATAAAATCAACAGGCTTCAGCAACAGATTGGATATGGGAAATGAGAGAGGAATTGAAGATGACACATAGATTGCAAGCCTACTGGGAAAGTGGTGGTGCCATCAACAGTAAAAGGGAAGTCTGGTAGTGGCAGCAGAGTTGGGGATGGAGGGATAATGAGTTCAGTTTTGAACATGTTGAATTTAAGATGTTTAGAGGACATCCAGTTTGACATGTCCAATAGGTAGTTGGAGATGCAAGCATGGAGGTCAGCAGAGAAGCTAGGGCTGGATAAATAGACTTGAGAATCATAAGCACAGAGATGGTAAATTAATCCATGGGAGCTAATGAGGACCAAGCCCTGTGAGACACTCAGGGTTAATTGGGAGTGACTTGGATGAAGATCCAGCAAAGGAGACTGAGAAGAAGCCATCAGACAGGTAAAGGGGAAATCAGAAAAGAGTACTGTCGTGAAAACTAGAGAGAAGAAAATATGAAGAAGAGAGTGATTGACAACGCCAGAGGCTTCAGAGAGGTGAAGAAGAATGAGGATTGAGAAAAGATCCTTAGATTTAGCAATTAAGAGTTCATTGGTAACTTTAGAAGAAAACAATTTTAGTTGCATGATGAGGTCAACAACCAGACTATAGAGAGTTAAGAAGAAAGTAAGAGACAGCTGTTATAGAAGGCTTTCTCAAGGAGCTTTGCAACAAAAGGAAGGAGTACAGGACCATTAATGGTTAAAAATAGATCAAATGAGGGTTTCTTGAGTATGGGGGAGACATGGATATGTCTTGGGGCTGTAGGGAAGTAGATAATGCACAGGAGAGTGCAGATAAATGAGAGGATGAGTATGATGGGAACAATCCACTGGAGAAGGTGAGATGAAATGGTACAATTTGTGCATATTGGTAAAATTTACCTTGGCCAGAAGGACCACCTTGTCATGTTAAGACAGGTGAAGTCAAAAGATACTGGTAAAAAACATCTGGGTGTTGTGAGATAAGGGGAAGGGGAGATCTCTCAGGGAATGGCCTCAGTTTTTCAGTAAAATATGAGGCAAAGTCCTCAGCTGAGATGGTAGGGGCAAGGGGAATGATAAGAGGTTTGATGAGGGATGGAAAGGAAGAAGAGCCTCTAGAATGAGTGGCATAATGAAACAATTAGGTATAAAAGGATTGCCTTGCTGCAATGAGGTCTCAGTCCATAACATCCCAGACAAGTTATTATCCAACCTCCTTTTGAGGAATCAGTTCCCATTCCCATTCTTTATCCTCTCAGAGGGAACTACTTCTGAAGCAATCCATTTCATTATTTTAATCATTAGGAATTTTTTCCTAAACCAGCAGAATTCTGCTTCAGTAACTTCCACCCATTGCTTTAATCCTGCAGTCTGGGATCAAATAGCTCTCTTCCATACACACACACACACACACACACACACACACACACACACACACACAGTTCCCTTCATGAGTAAAAACCAGCGCATAGACCAAGAGAGCAGTGACCACACCTCCCCTTAGACAATACTACCTTGGAAGCATTGAAAACTTACAGACACCCCCACCACCACCCAGAACTAGCTCTGAAAACAGCAGCATGAAAAAACTGAAGCTTGTGACAATGCCTCCACTATCCCAGGAGCAGAGTCCAACATTAAAGTTAAAAATCAAGCAATGGACTGGGAAAATAAGCAAACAACAACAACAACAACAACAACAAAAGAACCTGA